GCGCTGGCTTCTACCCTGGGGGGTCTTTAAAATGAGGCTTGTAATTACCTAGCTGGGGTGATATGAGCTTAAATTTACCAGGGGTCATATAAGCCCAATATTCATTCCTGCCCAGGGCAGGGGGTTGGATTTGATGATCTGCTTAGGTCCCTTCTGACTCTATACCTATGAACCTATGGACCTATGCTGCCCAGTGTGTGGGGTGTCCAGCAGCTCCTGTGTCAAACTGGCCTGCACACTGGATCTACACTGTTTTGAAGCAAGATGCACTTAAATAAAGAATTTAAATCAAATTCTGTGGCATGACATGCAGTTTTCAGGCAACTCCCTTTGCAATGAAAAATGCATTTCCTAGTTAGAATGGGTGAGGAAAAATATGGAAGTCAACATAGAGCAAAAGGTAAGGTTCAGCATGCCAGGTATCTGATGAATAGAAGGAGCAGATACAGTGTAAAAATGATTGGGCCAGATCCTCAATTCATGCAAATAAGTGTAGCTCTGTTGAGGTCAGTGGAGCAGTGCTAATTTATGCTAGTTAAGGATCTGATCTTAGATTGAAAGGGCTCTTAAAAGACAGATCCAATGAAAAACAAATTACAAGCAGTGCCAGACCGTGCCAAGGGAAGTAGGTTGAATTAAGAAAGAAAAGGTACATATCATTAACATCAAGTAAGTATGTGACAATATCAGCCTTAAGTTATAGAGATATGTGAACACATATGTGAACACTGAAGCCTGGAGAGAAGCACCAGTTATTTTAAAATCCCTTTTGTATGAATGAAAAATGTTGGTTCTTACCATTCCAGTAGCTGTATTTCAAATCTTGAAAGAGATTTGTGTGTTTCAGTTAATGAAAGGTAGAGGAAGTTCTGGAAATTTGTTTACAAAATCCTTGCTTGGTTTCTTGACAGACCTTATGGCTTTCCTGAATTATCCCGAGTATTCCTCATGCTCTTTCACCTCAGAGCTAATGTGACACGATCCAGAATATCTTCTTTTGCAGAATATGAAAACACGTTATGAACTTGAAATATTTTAACTGTGCTCTATTATATTGTTTTTCTTCTTACAGGTTGACCTCCTTGTTCCTACGAAAGTGACTGGCATAATTACACAAGGAGCTAAAGATTTTGGTCATGTACAGTTTGTGGGTTCTTATAAACTTGCGTACAGTAATGATGGGGATCACTGGACCATATACCAAGACGAAAAACAAAAAAAGGATAAGGTAAAGTAACAAGGCAATTAATATTTGAGTTGCATTTTACAGAAAGCTAAGATTATAGTAACATAAGTGCTGCTAGCCTGCAGGTTAATGTATGCTGTCTGCTTTATGTGGTTCCTTATGCTTATGGTTCTGCAGATAAAAGTCAAGGTGACTAGAAAGGAATCATAACACAATGACA